TAACTTGACTTATTAGTTCTAATAATCTCTAATAATCTCTTGGCATGGTAGATCTCATGGTAGATATTTATGTACATGATCACATGTATCATGAAAACACACGAAGAATAACTATAGTTCATTTCCAATTTTTATAGCTTTCATTCTTTTCTCATCTCATTGCTGATTAGGTAGAACTGGCAGAAAAGTAATGAATATACTGGCAAGAGCAAACATACGCACCTTGACTGATCCTGAGCTTAGAGAAAAAGTGCTCAGCCTTTCATAATTAAGTACGATGTTAACTATTTAATTTTAGGGGTTTGTAGATGCCCTACACCAGGTTGCAGAAGTTCTCCAAGCCTTGTTTACAGTTTCTATCGTACACGTTGAATTTTGTCAGATGATTTTTTTTCCCATCAACTGACATCTTATTTTTTTTTAAAGATTTTATTTATTTATTTGTCAGACAGAGAGAGAGAAAGAGCATAAGCAGGAGGAGTGGCAGGCAGAGGGAGAAGCAGGCTCCCCGCGGAGCAGGGAGCCCGATGCGGGACTCGATCCCAGGATCCTGGGATCATGACCTGAGCCGAAGGCAGCTACTTAACCAACTGAGCCACCCAGGCGTCCCTGACATCTTATTTTTGTCCTTTATTCTGTTAGTATAGTAACTTCATGCACTGATTTTTCAATGTAAAACAATCTTGTGTTGCTGGATAAAACCCGAATTGTCCATATTGTGTTCCCTTTTTTATATTGCTGGAGCTGATTTATTAATATTTGGTTCTGAATTTTTTCAATTATGCATACCGGTCACAACATTTACTTTCTCACAATGTCTCTCCCTGGATTTGGCATCAGGGTGAAAGCAGTGTCATAAAATGAGAACTGGAAGTATTCTCTCCCTTGTCTACTTCTGGAAGAATTTTTGTAGAAGTGGTATTATTTCTTTCTTAAAAGCTTGATGTATTTCATAGCGAAGCCATCTGAGCCTCAAGTTAGCTGTAATTAAGATTTTAAACTCTAAATGATATGTGACTATCTCAGGGACTCTATTTCATCTCGTGTCAATTTTAGTAATTTTTGTTTTTCAACACATTTTTCATTTGTAAAGTTTATTGGAATATGATTTATGATAAAATACTTTTTATTATTCTTTTAATGTGTACAGGATCTGTAGTGATTCATTCACAGTATTAGTAATTGTACTTTCTCTTTTTAATTCTGATTGTCCTGGCTATGGTTTATTAATTTATTAATCTTTCCAAAGAATCAACTTTTGGGGCGCCTGGGTGGCTCAGTTGGTTACGCGACTGCCTTCGGCTCAGGTCGTGATCCCGGAGTTCTGGGATCGAGTCCCACATCGGGCTCCCTGCTCAGCAGGGAGTCTGCTTCTCCCTCTGACCCTCCCCCCTCTCATGCTCTCTCTCTCTCATTCTCTCTCTCAAATAAATAAATAAATAAATAAATCTTTAAAAAAAAAAAAAAGAATCAACTTTTGGTTGCATTGACTTTACATATTATTTTTTCATTTTCTATTTCAATGATCACTACTCTTTACCATTTTTTGAACCATTCAACTTTTCTAACATAAGCATTTAGCATCCTATAAATATCAGCTGGAATTATTTACTAGAACTGTGCATGTTTCCTATATTTGTACCAGTTTCCTGTCTGCTTCTTCTATCAAATACCAAGATACATGTGTTAAAATATTCAACTACAATTGTGGCATTTTCCATTTCTCCCTGAGATGTCAGTTTTATTTTGAAATTATGTTTTTAGGTATATCTGAGTTTAGGCTTCCTATGTATTCTTGATGATTTGACCCTTCTATCAATATAAATTATCCTATCTCTTTTTCTCCTCAAAGTCTACTTGTTTGATATTAATATACCCAAACCAACTTTCTTATGATTACTGTTTGAATGGCATATATTCCCCCCATCTTTGTGCTTTTCAACTGTACATAACTGTTTCTGGTAGAAAACATGTTAATTCACTCTAGTTTTTGTTTTTTTTTTAATACAGTCTGACAACTTCCACTTCTAAATACAGTCTTTAGTCCATTTACATTTAATGTAATTCTTGGTACACTGGATTTAAGTCTACCACGTTGCTATCTGTTTCCTATTTGACTGTATGTTCCTAGTTTTTTACTCCTTTCTTGCCACCTCTTCCCTGCCTTTCAGTTTAAGTATTTTTTAGTAACCCATTTTTGCGCTTCTGGCTTACTATCCATACTTTATGTGGTTGCTAAAGGGTTTACAATATGCATCTTTAACTTATGATATGGTTGAAGCTAGAATGTGGTAACACATAACATGTAAGAACTACCACTTCTCCTCTACTCCATTTCCCTTCCATTTCTCTGTGCTATTTCCTATTGCGTATTTCACTTCTATATATGATATGCACTATAAAATTACATGCTCTTATTTTTTCTTTAAGTAGTCAATAGTCTTTTAAAGAAATTAAGCAAGGGGAAGAATCTCTGATATTTATTCACTTGCTATTTCTATTTTTGGGATTCAACATTCCTTAATATAGACCCATGTTTCCATTTGGTATTATTCCTGCCTGATGAGCTTTTATCAGGCTGATGAAACACAAGGACTATGCTCTATCCATCTCTTACCCCACTGAGTTCTTTATATAGCATGTGAAACATTGCAGGTATTGATTTTAAGAATAAATGAAACATTGAAGGTGCTGGTTTAAAGGTTTACAGTCTGGTAAGTACTTTATTAGAAGTATAGAAACCCAAAGAAGGGCCAACCCACTGTATATAGTCATATTCAGGAAAATTTTACAAAAATGGTGACACAGATCGTCAATGCCAACAAAGATTTTCCAAAAGGTTAAGTAAATGAATGATAGTTTAAGAAGAGTTTTAGAAAAAGATGTATGCAAAGGCACACTGCAGGAAACTGTCTTGACATACCCAGTGAGAATCTCCACTTGATGTGTGGAGAACTGGGGCACAAATGGAACCGGGGGCTCAAGGGAAAAGTCTAGGTCAAATCGTTAAGTACCCTGAATATCACAGTAGGGACCTCGAAGTTTATCTCCAAAGTACTGGGAAAGTCTTTAAGCCAGACAGTGACGTGGGAACATCTGTATTTACAGGATAATGCAGGAGCAAAACTGGAGGTAGGGGGACCACACAGGCAACTACTCCTAGAGTCCCAAGGAAAAGGAACCAAGATGTGCAGTGGAATGTAGAGGGTGATTAGGAGACATTTCAGAGGCTCAATCCACAGGATCTGGGGAGCATTAGGCTTAGCAGGGATGGAAAGGGAGGATTAGAAGAAATCCAATCTCCATCCCAAGAGCAGGAAGAAGACCATGCAAGCCAACAGAAAAGAGAGCAGGGTCAATGGGTGGGGAATCCGGGAGCCAAGCAGCACTTGTGCTAACCAACGACTCTTCCAAGTGTGTGTTTGTTCCATTCCACATGGTAGCATTCTTCTCATCTTAAATTGTCATTTAGAGCAGCAGGGGCCGTGACGTGCAAACCGGATATCAAAAGGGGGGAACAAACGCAACTCAGTGACAACCTGTGCTGCTTCCAAGAACTATTTATAAGAGCAGTGGCAGCAGGCGATGCAGGGATGAGAAGGAAACACGGCAGGTACACCATGGAGCAGCCCGAATGCACAGGAAGGGCCTAAAACACGGGAACAGTGAACAGCGTCTGGCAGCAGTCCTGGCCACGGTTCCCCCAGGGCCAAGCGCTTTGATGGTTTATACAACAAACTCAAAACAGAGGCGAGCCTTGGCAAGAAAGACTATTACTCCACGGACTGAAAAAGTGACAGATGATGAAATGTGATGCTAAAAAGCCCAAGCTAAGCCATTAATTCTTGTGAAGCCATTCTCCGATGGCCGGGAAGAAAAATAGTCTTTCCTATAAACTAAAACTACACTTATTATTTGGGGCTGTATCACTTTAAAGGGAGTTTTATATCAGCATTAACATGGGCAGCACCAACCGTCTATTTTACACTGTGGAGTACAGAATCCTTTGGTGGAGAGGAGGGGGATGCCGCATACGATGCTCTTTCCCCAGTTCGAGGCCACAGAGGTGCTCGTCACCACTGCCACCTTAACTCTACTAAGAATAAACACCACTATCCCACTGCATCCTGCACCCATAGGTAAGACGCAACGGACATGAAGATAGTCGAGTACTCAGTGCTAATCAGCACCTGTTTCCCACAGGCGGCTGGCCTCTGGGGCAGGGGTCTGAGAGGCAGAGGGTCTCCAGTGGGCAGGAACACCACCCACCACGTTCAGACCCCACCACTCCCAGCTCACCCTAGGTCAAAGTTTCAGATGGGAAATGGTCATTCTCCCACCTTAGAGAAGAATACCTCTAGGACCTCTGGCCACTTCTGGGTTTGAAGTAGACACACTGACTTCTCTCCCCCTGATGGAAGACGAGACCTGGAGAAGTAACTAGGAGAGAAAATTTCTGTCCAAGAAGGGCTTCCTGGGCAGAAACAGGCCAGTGCTCCAGACAGCTGGGGGCTCCATGAACAGAGGTGCCTAGAAGCTGGACAGCCTGGAGGGGCACACAGTTTTACTGGGATGCCAGCAGTGACACAGAAAAAGACGTAGGACTCCCCCAGGAGTGCCCGGACATGGGGCTAGCGGCTGAACCCCCTACCAACAGGAGAGCTGAACCAGACTGAAGCCAGGACCAGGCTCAGGGCAATGCGTGGAAAACGCGTCCTATACGATGATGACCACAAACAAGCATGCTGCAATGTTAACATCACTGTTACGCCACCTGAGAAGGTGTAAAGCCCATCCACTCACAACTAACCGAAAAAAGCATTTCTGTATAATGCCTGTTTTTCTGATGCAGACCCCAAGTCCCAGGGAGGCTAAGCAACTTGACACAGTGGTTTGGATTTGACTAGAGGTGGGACAAAGAGGAACACGGAAGTCAGAATTCCAAACGCAGTGCTGTGGGACTCTAGAAAAAGGCCATGACAGAGCAGAGATCTGTTTACCTGGTTGCCGGCAGAGTACTGACTCGGGTGAAGAATATAGATGGCTCGGCTTCCACGTGCAGCCCCAGGGAGAGGTTCCTATAGTATCCTTCAACGTGGCCCGGACCTCCAGAGTATTTGAAATTCAGGATAGCTTCCAGGGTCTAAAATGATAAAAAAAAATGATAAGTTAACAATCCCGAAGTTGATCAGCATTCTTCCAGAAGGCAGGCCTCACTTAGGTAAGGCTGAAGAGAACCCCAACTGGGCAACTCCAATACCTGGCACCTGCACCATCTTTCCTATGATGCCCTCTGCATCTGCACTAACAATTCCCAGCCTAGACATGCAAATGGAAAAAGGCTCCAAAATCCTTCTGTGGCTCATAGAGCATTTTAGAGGGGAAAACACATTTCCATCAGCATCACTTAAACACAGAGATGAGGGGGTGGGGGGGGGATGACCCTTCTCTCAGGGAGGTAGCATATGGCTCCCAGGCCAGCAGTCAGGAAAGCTGATGAGCTAAAAACTCATGACACTTCCTTGAACCCATCAAGAGATGAGGTCCCAGGGCAACCGTGGGGCCAGAAGACCAAGGGGGTACAAGGCCCTTCTAGAAGGTAAGGTAGGGACGCCTGTCAGCAAACGTAGAGCCAGCCACCGCACAGGCCAATGGGAAGGCATTAGCTCAAGGTCAGTGAACTGCTAAAGGCTGAGGAAGGGCTCTAATAACAGGGAAGACCCCCTGGGAACCCAGACAAGAAGGAAGGCCCCACCCACTCCCGGCTCTTCACCATGGACCTCTCTGGGGTTACACACAAAGGACTTGGCCAGGGTGCAGGACAGCAGAGGGGGCCTTCCGCGGTAGCACAGGCACGGAGGAAGGGGGTCAGCAACCACTGAAGGAAGGGTATGAAACCAAAACCCCAGCCCCAACCCCACCCTCCCCTCTCATCCCCATCCAGACCCCTCTTTCTCCTCTGAAGCAAGCTGGCGGAGTGGCACCCAATGCCAAGGGCACAAAGGCAGGGACAAATATCCATTCCCGTGGCAGGGGGGTTGGGGGGGCACGGGGGACAGAAGCTAGTTCCGAGCCAGAATCCCGTACCAGTGCAGTTAGAGGTCCCCCACCACCGAGCCGGGCTGGAAACGCACTCATCCACAGTGCCCACCAGATACTAGGCAGAGATGGGCTGCTAGGTGAGGGAGGAGCAGGGAGTCCAAGGGAGCCCAACACAGAAGACCCAGGTGCACAGTGTGGGACAAGGACAGCAGAGAAGTCCCGTCTGCTCCTGCCACCGGCACCAGTGGGGAAGGAACAAAGGTGTGGAAAGACCCCACCCATGTTGCTGGCATGCAGGGAGGGCTGAGGATGGAGGATGACTGTTCTGGGAGAAAACGCCTGGCACCTCAGTTCCCTCCCCCTCCCCTGCTCATACAAGACAACACCAGAGGAGTTTGGAGCCTGTGGGGCACCCAAGTAACCATAGCAACAAGAAATCTCAAACCCAGCTCAACCCCTCGCTAGAGTGACTCAACCTTCCACGTGAAGTCCTAACACAGGCATCAGCAAACTATGGCCCGAGAGCCAAATGTGGCCTGCAGCTGGTTTCACCTGGCCCGAGAGCAGTTTTTACAGTTTTAAAAGGTGGTAAAACAACAACGATGGAAAACAAAGAGCATACGATGCTGACCACTTTTGGCCGGCAAAACTGAAATATTTACCATATGGTTCTCTATGTAAAAAGCTTACTGATAAACTGTAAGAAGAAAACAGAAGTAGATCTCCGTGACCGTGGACGAGGGTGTGGTGTCACGGAGAGGACACCGAAAGCACCAGCAGCAAGGGACAAGAAGCCAGTGCCATGGAAACCCAAGGCAGGCAGACCTTCGGGAAGATGGGCCAGAACGCCCCCCGCCGTGGCCAAGCCTTGGGAAAAGGGGGGTGGGAAAGTATCCACGTCTGGCCATCAGTTGACCGCGGGCGACGCTCGTAGAAGTCAGAGCTCACGGAGCCCAGAGAAACCAGAGGAATGGGTGGCACGGGCCATGGCCAACTGGGGCTTCAAAGCTCTGCGCTCCAGGTGGGGCCTAAGCATCCCCTCGCCTGGTAAGAGCAAAGTGAGCACAGAAGGAGCCACCTGCCTTCGTCCCCACGTTCAAGAGGCAAGTATTTCGATAAACCTTCCTGGCAGGGCACAGTGTTTGGCCCCCGGTCCATGCTTTCACTGACCTGTTTCTCCCTTCCAAGGGAAAGGCGGCCACAGCCACAGACTTTTTTTAAAATGAAGAACACACCCTGTATGTGCCCGTCTTCAGAGACAGGGCACCCCGAGGAGGACAATGACTTTCCCGAGAGACTCGAGACGTGCAGAGCAGGCTGGTGCAGCAGGCGGGGAGCAGGTGCGGAGGCCAGGCTCAGTGTGGCCCATTGGCTCCTCGAGGTCCTGGGCACGCCTTCCGTCCACTCTCAGCCCGCTTCTCCACTGTGACACGGGGACAGGAATGAACAGCGCAGCGCAGATTCGCTGAGACAATGCAGCAGCAGAGCAAGTAGACACTCATTAAAAAGAATTCCTTTCTCCCGCTGCAACCTTGCCATCTGATACCTTGAGGCAACGTGGTTTAAAATGGGAAGAAACCGGAAATGGATTTCAGTGCTATTTCTCCCCCCCCCCATTTTTTTATCTCGGTAAGATATATATAATAAAATTTGCCATTTCGACCATTTTTAAATGTACTGTTGTGTGGCATGACATACATCCGCAGAGTTGTGCAATCATCACCACCCTCCATCCATAGGCAGAGCTTTTTCATTTTCCCAAACTGGAACTCTGTTCCCATTAAACACTAACCGCCTCCTGCCCTCCCCCAGGCCTGGATACCACCGTGCTCTTTCTGTCTCTATGAATTAGAGGACTCTCGGAACCTCCTGTAAAAAACAGAGTCCTAGCTTTTGTCCTTTGGGGACTGGTTTATTTTACTCAGCTTCATGTCTTCAAGGGTCGTACGTGGTGGAACAGGTGTCAGAACGTCCGTTTTAAAGCTGGAGGTAAACACTCCACTGCACGCACAGGCCACATTTTATCTATCTGTTGAGGGACACTTGGGTTTCTTCGACCTTTCAGCTATTGTGAATAACACTGCCATGAGCATGGGTAGACACATAGCGGTCCTGAGATGGCGCTTTCAGTCCTTAGGGTATTCATTTCTTTATATATTTGTTTTAGGGATTACCATGCCATTTTCCATGGTTGCTAGATCATCTTATGTTCCCACTGACAGTGCCTACGGGTTCCAGTTTCTCCACATCCTTGTCAACATCTGTTATTTTCTGTTTCATAGGTTTGTTTTTTATAATAGCCCTCCTAACAGGTGTGAAGTGGTATCTCTTTTTGGTTTCGATTTGCATTTTCCTCATGACTAGTGATACTGAGCATCTTTTCATGTGCTTACTGGCCCTTTATTATTGTTTTTGGAGAAATGTTTGTTCAAGGCTTTTGAGTCATTTTAAAAGCTCACTCCCCACCCCTCTTCTTCAAGGTGTCTTTCACACCTAGAAGCTTATAGGTTCCCTTCAACTTCTGTACCACGTGGAATGCCTTCACTGTGCCTAAATGTGATATAAAGCCACGCCTGATCCAAGAGGACATCTACACTGCCTCACTTAAAAAGGGCTCAAGAAAACAAACATTCTGAATAATGGCCTTGAAATGCCCAAACCTGTGAAGTAACACAAATGTCACACGGACTTTGTTTTTTTTAAGGTAAACTAAAAGTCCAGGGAGTGATGTAGTAGAAATCACCTAGGAAGGCAGCAAAAAATTCATGGGGATACGTAACAATCAAGTACTACATAACAAAGAAGAAATAGTCTGTGTTTCTATTTTCTTGGAATTGGCTATGTCTTTTGCTCTGTAAAGAACCAAGAAAAAGATAGGATTACAGGGAAAACAATTTATAAAAATCAAGCAAATTAAAGATTTTGTGAAATTATTATTACTGCCTTCCTTTCTTAAAAAACAAACAAAAAACCCCTCCTTGGCTCTATAAAATTAGAATATTTTAATAAAAACAGAAAGTGGGTTGGTAAGGTAAAAGACATAGGATGCTCCAACTTTTTTTTTCCAATCATAAAATAATGAGAAGCAGTGTGCTACTCTACCCTAAGACTTTCCCTTCTCAGAGTATGCTGCAGTCCTTACTTGGAAAAAAGACTATTACAGAAATCAGTAATGGGCAAGGAACTGAAGAAAAAACTTTCTAGGCATACAACTTATTATTTGAGCTAAAATAAAAGGACTTTCAGTGGCTACCTTTTATTGTGCACCCACTAGATATCAAATACCATGATAAGTCATCTACACACACTGACTCTAATGTTCTTAAGAGTCCTACAAGGAAAGCCCTGTTTGCATAAACAAGGCTCAGAGCTGTTACATGACTGGCCCAGGCCACACACCCAGGAAGCAGCACATCCAGGATTTAAATGCAGAGCCACATGGCTGCAACAGCCTGCTCTCTTGCCATTTTTGCAAACTACTCAGAAGAGCCTTCATTCATCCATCTACCCACTCACTCACTGACCCTGAACAAATGTCTACTATGTGTAAAGGATGATGGCAGAAGGCACGATGCCACCTACGGGGACTCAAGTCTAGCTAAAGACACAGCCAGAGACATCTTTCGATAAACTGTTATATGTTACAGAGAAGTATCCTAGGATATATGGATACCAAAGACTATTACACCTGGAAGGCCAAGAGTTGGATAAGAAGGAACAACATCTCAGCAAGAAAGGCAGAATTGGGCAACTGTTAAATTGAAAACAGAGAAAAATAAAGTCTAGTTCTTGAAAATATCAATAAATATGATAATCCTCTAAGTCTGATCAAAAAAAAGAAGAAACTAATTACCAATATCAAAAATGAAAATGAATGTCAGCAGAGATCCTACACACATTCAAAGGATAATAAAATAGTGCAAACAATTTAGTGCCAATAGATTCAACTTGAATAAACACATTACCAAACGGAACCAGGAAAAAATAGAAAACCTGAGAGCCTCATGTCAACTGAAGACACTGGATTCATGACTGAAAACAGCCCTCCTAAAGGAAGCCCGAGGCCAGGTGGTTTCCCTGCTGAATTCTATCAAAACCTCA